TCCTCTGCTGTGGCTGGCCAGGGTCAAGCTGGCACGACTCAACACTCAAGACATCAGAGACATGGAGCTGAAAAGCAGCACCAGCAGCAGCCCACCTGATGGAAGGTAGAACTCACAAACTCCACGTGACTGTCTTATTGTTAGCGCTGCTTTTGATCAGAGGGAGCAGTCCTGCAGTCAGGTGTTGTTACTGGATATCTGAGTGTAGAAATGATAATGTTAGTGGTAATCAGGAGAACATGTTTGTAAGCTTGGACATAAGGAGGTCCAAGTCAGCGTGAAAAACTAAAATCTGCAAAAGTCCACCCTGACTTCAAAAACTCACCGTATGCTTTGTGAAGCAGTGAGCTCGAACTTGTTTTTAAACATTCAAACATTCATTCACAGTAATTTAAAGCAGATATCTCAGGCAGAGAAACAGATTTTTGACTCCTCAGTGTGGTACAGCTCCTATGGGCAGCTCGTAGAAAAGTGTTTTTTTAATGTAATCCTACATGATCAGTGTCAGTCTACATGTGGTACCAGTGATGGCCACGAAGTTAGCTTTATTGAACCTAATTCAAATTGTTGTATATAGTAAAGTCAAGACATTACGCTATTACACAGAGAACCAACACAATTCTGCCTTCATCATTTTAAAACGAGAGTTTTAGCACCGAAATGTCCCAATCAGAAAGCAAACACAGGTTTCTCATTTCCGCCTGTAGTAGAAAAAAAATCACTTTATTCTAAAAGTGTCACTGAAAAATAATCAAAAATAAACATTTTGCATCAGATTCTATAAAAAAACAACAAACTCTGTACTACTTGGTGCAACCAAGAAGCCGTTAGTGACTCGGCTTTGACCGACAGTCACATGACTAAAGTGATTTTCGGCTGAACTGCAGGCAGTGTTAGATAGGCAACAAGCACATAAACAAATTTAAAATGTAAGTATGGAAATATGTATAGTCTGTACAGCCAGTGCGTGGTTTTTTCCCCCCAGTGTCGTTCGGTACTTGGGAGAAAAAATGTCAGAAAGTCTCCTAAACTTCAGAGTGATGTGGAAACTCAGCGAAAGTGCAGCAGAAGTGTTTTAAAATCAAAACGTTTTGATGTGGATTTAGCCTCAGGTAATATCTTAGTAACTGTTTATCATCCTACTCACGCAAAAGACAAATTTAGTGACGTGCGTTACCAGCAGCAGCCATGACGGAGCATATTTTGTGAACGCAGCCCCTGATGAATCCCATCTGTGGCTGAATGAGGAGTGAAAGGTGTCAGATAAAGATCTTAACTCTGTTCTGTGTTGGCAGCCTGCTGCACCGAGCCTGGTGGCTGATGTCTCAGGCAGCGAGGGGCGTGGCCGTCTCCCTCTCCACCTCCCTCTCGCTGGGCGTCTTCTTCCTGCAGTTCCTGGAGTGGTGGTACTCGTCGGACAACCAGAGCGCGGTGAAGACCCTCACCTCCCTGCCCGCCCCTCCGCCGCCGCTCCACCTGCAGGAGGATCGCGGAGAGGAAGCCGACTGCACGAGCTGTCCGCTGTGCCGGAAGCCCCGCGCCAACGCCACGGTGTTGTCCACCTCCGGCTACGTCTTCTGCTACCGCTGCATCTACACGTATGTGAAGGCCAACCGCCGCTGCCCGGTCACCGGATATCCCACCGAGCTGCAGCACCTCATCAAGATCTACTCGCCGGAGAGCTGAGCCACGTCAAGTTCAGCCGCAGCATGTTTGGACCTTTCAGAAAACAGTGGCCTTGTTTTTACTGGTGTCCTCTGCAGCCGGGACCCTGTTCAACCCAAGTGCTTGCCTTCTTGTAAATAATGAAGTTTATAATGTACTGAAGAGTTTTTGACTAATTATGCAGCAATACAAGCTGATGTAGATGCTACTTTCTTCTTCAGCGTCTGTGACACTGGAAACTAACACGTTCAGTAATAAACAATTCCCTCAGTGGTGATGGCAGTGTGGTTTGTTTTAGAAACGGCAGGAAAAAAAGAATAAAGTCTCCGTTCAGCATCACAAAATCCTCTCAATGCTTCACAGCAGATTGTAGCTGTGACGTAGGTGACTGGTGGTTTGTTCCCTTTATGTGCAACAGAAACCAGTGAAACCTAAACCTACAGAGTTCTTATCGACCAGTTCTGTTGTTTTTAGGCTCAGGATGGTTAAACCAGAACTAACAAGTTATCAGCGGTGGAATGTGATTAAGTTCTGTACTAGTCCATGTGACCTCTGTACTTATTCCACCACAGCTCAGAAGGAAATATATTTTTTTAACATCTCTCTGCATTTGTCTGAAAGCTTGACTTTACAAATTACCATTTTTTTGCACAAAACGTATCGAGAACATAAAATCTGAAGACACCAGCAGTTTGTAAAGGTTAAGCTGAAACATTTAGTCGATTGATTAATTGGTGAACGGAAAGAAAATTGGAAACAATCATCGGTGCACTTGTGGTGGCCTTTGTCAAAATTTTAAGAATTCTTAGAATCCAAACAAACGTCAATGAGGAAAANGTGTTTTTCGACGCCCTTTGACGTGAGTACGGTGCTGTTATACGAGCCTGTACAGTGAAAGCTCGCTGTGTTGTGTTTGTGCAGCAGCCATGGCAGAGGCCGGAGCCCACATCACCTCCACCGCTGCCAACGAGCAGCCGTCCATCTTTGAAGTCCTGGCACAGGAGTCTCTGATGGAGGCGGTCCGACCGGCTCTGAAACACGCTGTCAAGGTAATAAGTACAATCTGGAACTTCCTGTTTATAAATCTGCAGTAGACGCTCTGCCACTCAGGTTAAGGTAATGATAGTTCTTATGTTACTGTGGCTCTGACAGTCTCACTGCTGGTGATCCTCTCAGGTTCTGGCCGAGTCCAACCCGTCCCGTTTCGGCTTCCTGTGGAGAAGCTTCGATGAGCTCTACCTGCTGCTGGACGTCCTCCTACAGAACCACTTCTTGTCCAACTGCAGCGCCTCCTTCTCTGAAAACTTCTACGGCCTGAAAAGAGTTTCGGGTGGCCGAGGACTTCCGGTTCGCCTGGGGCTGCACAGGAAGTCCCACTGGCGCTCTCTTCTTCTTCTGTGCCTTGTGCCGTACCTGCGGGCCAAACTGGAGGCGACGTTGGCCCGGCAGAGGGACGAGGAGGACTTCTCCATCCGACTGGCTCAGAGCAGGAGCCAGAGGCTGTACCGGGCGGCCGTGGCAGCGTATCCGTACGTCAGCTCGGCCTGGCAGGCCTGGATCTTCTGCCAGCAGCTGCTGTTTGTGTTCGGAGTCACCAAGACCCACAGTCCTCTGCTGTGGCTGGCCAGGGTCAAGCTGGCACGACTCAACACTCAAGACATCAGAGACATGGAGCTGAAAAGCAGCACCAG